GGCTGGTTTAGGATGAGGCAAACTGTTTTCTGAAGATGGTAGTGTCTCTTGGGTTATCTGAGGGGGCATAAGTATAGGTATGCACTGAGTATTTTCAGACAGCTTAAGCTGTGGGAGCAGATCCCACAGAACATATTGCTTGTTGAGATCCTTGTGCGAGACGTGACCTAAACTTTATGGTTTATGTTCCTTGTGCAACTCTTATTTTTATTTTAGCATGGCTGTTATAATCAGGTAGCCTTACTGGCTATATGAAGAACCATTTCTTCAATCTCCTGTGCATGCCACACACATGGGAATTCAATAGCAATCTGTACCATTAGTAACACAAGGATTTACTTTCTTCTGTTAGCTGGTGAAACTGCTCAGGTTAATTGGACGTCACCTTGTTCTTGCACGAGGAGGCAGAAATGAAGTCTGTTTTGTTACTCTTTCTTTCAAGTCAAATAATACAAACATTTTCGAAGTTTCTCTGGTAACTTCTGTAAGAGTCCTCCTCTTGTCTGCCAAAGTCATCTTATTCAGGGATTATGCTAAGAAACACAGTATTACAAGCTTGAAGAACACAACAGGTTTATGTAATAGCTTTGGAATATTTTTCCAGTTATTTTCTATCTCCTTTCTTATGTATGCAAACAAGGTGTTAGCTGTTTTGATCGTTGATGCCCACTGAGCAAATGTTTTTACTGAGCTTTCTATACTGATGCACAGGTCTGGCTTTTGTTTTTCTTGAACTGATAGCAGTTCACTCTAGCCCTAGCAGTAGGTTGTTCAAATTAATCCCTTTTGTGTGCATTGCTTTGCATTCGTAAGCATCTAATTTCATCTGTTCCCGGTGCTGAATCACTAATAGCTCCCACACATGGAAGAGTAGATACTAAACAGATGCTAAAACACAGGACAAAGAATGACAAAAACCGCTAAAGGACTGCCACTCTTAACTCCTCAAGAGAACTTAGGTAGGGTAGTAGAGTCTTATGTTTGATTTTTTTTCCCATGTTGGAGGAAAGCATAGTTTTTGTTTACTTTCAGTCAGGTAGTTATCTTAATACCTACACATAGGAAGGCTACATACAGTCTGCCTTGGTCTCTTCAGACCTTCAGACCATGGTCTCTTCAGACCTTCTGCTGTCCTGAGGTACCTAGGATAAAGAAACTTGGATTTGACACAAAAGATCGATTATCTTAAGCCCGGTCCTGGCTTCTGTACTGTTTTTTTCAAGTGGTTTCAAACCAATTGAAGGTACTTGTCTGCACGACATGCTGTAGTTTTGCTGAGATTTGGTGATTCTCAGATGCTTAAAGAGCAAGTTAGGCCACTTTGCTGAGAGCATAGATTAAACTAGCAGTTTTTAGCAAACAGTGAGGTTCAAGTTAATAGAGGGCTGAGGAATTTTGCAAAACAATGTACCTACATTTGCATTGAAATTCACCTATTATAACACAAATACTCCCGTGAAAATCCAAGTTAGATCTCAAGATGAAACAGTGATGTTTTGTTTATAGCATCTTTCACCATTCATATCTGCCTTCAGTTCTGATATTTTATTTCTTCAAGATGACACAGACGTTATTTTTCCCACATCCCATATGTCCAAATCACATATAAAGATATTTAGCTCAAATACCATGAGTGTGAAACATTCCACACTGTGGGTCCAGGGTGACGTTTGGCATGTCTTTAACATGCTGTGGTGTTCAGTTATAATACAGCAAATTTATTTTTATGCAGCCTGCCTTCATTGAAAGTATGGAAAATTGCTTTGCAGTGAGTCATCTGACAGCTAAAGAACTACAAATCTGTAGTGATATTTAAAGAGAAAGTGGCTCAGAGCTGACAGAGTTCAAGACAGAAAAAGAAACAGAAATGAAAGAGAGGGCCTCCAACCGTGGAGAAAATAGAGGCAAAGACTAGTTAGGAGGAGGAGTGGTGAGAAAGCCAAACAAGCTGAGAATGTCAAAGGCAGTTCAGGAGATTATGCATATCATCCTGAAACGAGCATTGGGCTTCAGGTGTCTCTCCTGTGTTACACCAGTGTTAGCCAAGCAAAGATTCTTTGACCCTAAGGGAATGTTGTAAGCCCAGATAAATAAGAGTAATAGGCTCAGTGCACTATGAGGAATTTAGAAACATGCAGGTAGAGGTTGAGGGAAAGATAAATGGCTTAGCTTTCCAGAGCAAGACATTAGAATTGGTAGTTTGACCTTGGCTGAGCGCTGGGTGCCCACCAAAGCGACTCTATCACTTCACTCAGCTGAACATGGGAGAGAAAATAAAGGTTCATGAGCTAAGGGCAGGGGAGATCGCTCACCGATTACCATCACTCACCTGGGCAAAAGAGACTCTACTTGGGGAAATCAATTAAATTTGTTACCAATCAAAATCAGAGCAAGATAATAAGTAAAATTGAATCTTAAGAACACCCTCCCCCCCACCCCTCCCATCTTCCCAGGCTTAACTTTATTCCCTGTTCTCTACCTCCTCCCTCACAGTAGTGCAGGGAGATGGGGAATGGAAGTTACAGCCAGTTCATTACATGTTTTTTCTGCTGCTACTTCCTCCTCAGGGAGAGGAGTCCTTCCCCTGCTCCAGCATGAGGTCCCTCCCATGGGAGACAGTCCTCCATGAACTTCTCCAGAATGGGTCCTTCGCATGGGCTGTAGTTCTTCATGAACTGTGCCAGCATGGGTCTCTTCAGGAGCCCTCCAGCATGCATGCAGTCCTTCAGGAACAGACTGCTCCAGTGTGAGTCCTCTGCAGGGTCACAAGTCCTGCCAGCAAACCTACTCCAGTGTGAGTTCCTATCTCCATAAGGCCACAGATCCTGCCAGGTGCTCCTCTGGTGTGGGTTTCCTATGAAGCTACAGCTTCCTCAGGCTTCCACTTGCTCGAGTGTGGGGTCCTCCACAGGCTGCAGGTGGATCTCTGCTCCACCATGGTCCTCCATGGGCTGCAGGGGCACAGCTGCCTCACCATGCTCTGCTCCATGGGCTGTGGAGGAATCTGTTCCAGCTCCCAGAGCACCTCCTCCCCCTCCTTCTTCACTGACCTTGCTGTCTGCAGAGTTGTTTCGCTGACATAGTCTCAGTGGCTGCAATTACTTCTGCACAATAACTTTTCTACCCCTTCTTAACTATGATATCCCAGAGGCATTACTGCTGTCACTGATGGGCTGATATGGTTTGAAGCTGGCTCCCTGCCAAGTCTCCAAACCTTACCACCAGAAGTCCCCCCCCTCAAACCTCAGGGAGAAGAGGGAGAAAAACAACCAACTAAGAAAACCTGAAACGAGAGAGGCAGCTAAAGTGATATATATAAATATATTTACACTTATGTTACAATTGAAATATATATACAATTTAAAATATATACAATTTCACAAGGGAAGGGGAAGGGGGAAGGGAAAGGGAACAAAACCAAAATTATATATATATGTATATATATATATATACACATATATATATATATCCCAATCAGTAGCCTGAGATCTAGTAACTAAAGAGTTAGCAAAGAAAATATCCTACCACTCTCCTTGGGACAACCGAGAGTTGCTCCGGGACGATCGCCGGCAACCTCCGCCTCCCAAGGTCGACAAGGCCTCACCAGGCCTCGCTCCCCAACACGGCAGACTCAACAGCAGGGAACCTGCACCTCCAAGCCGCCAGACGGAAAAGAAAGCAAAGGCTTCTCCTCCTTTCTTCTTATAATCTGGCTTACGTAAAAATCGTAGGGAATACTGGGTAAATCTGGACCCTTCCTTGGTTACAAACTGGTCACCAAGGAAGGCCTAGCCCAAACCACCACATTGGCTCAGCCTTAGCCAGCCAGCAGTGGGTCTGTCTTGGAGCTGGCTGGCGTTGGCTCTATCAGAGACATACAGGAAGCTTCTGGCAAATTAACTTTTCACAGAAGTCACCACTGTAGCCCCCACCATGACCAAAATCTTGCCATGCAAACTCAATACATAGAAGAACACTGGTATTCTGCGCTCCACGGTGTCCAAACGTGTGAGGATTTTGTTAGACCATGAAGGAGGGAATTTCAGTTTGACAGGAATTATTACAGACATGAATATGGACTTCAGCAGCAGTGCACTCAAAGGGAAGATGGGTTCTGGCGGTCTTACTTGCCTAATGTTAGGAGGGCTAACACTCAGAAGTGAGCGTGTGGGAGAAGCAGTCAGTTCAGGGTCAGAGATGACTTGCTTTGTGTAGAGGGATAAGATCTGAGTAAAGAAGCACAAAAGCTGTCTTGGAGAGCAAGAGAGACTTATTTCCCATGACATTTGAGCCTTTTGAAAAATTAGCTAGTAAGGAAATTATAATGTAGCAAGGGAGCAACAGAACGGAGGCAGGCGGTTAAAGAGATTGGAGACTACTTGCCAAGGTCACTGTTGCTTTTCCTATAAAGTTGATGTCCAAAACTGAGCTAACAGTAAGATATCCCAAAGGAGGAGGATGTTTAAGGAGGAGGAAGTAGATGAGTCAGAAGCAGATGCCTGGTGTTTTTAGAGCACCACACTGTCATGAATGAACATCATCAATATAAACACGTTTTGCTGTCAATTGTGTGCATTCTCCTTTCATTCTTGGTCAAGTCTACAGACTGGTAGTGGGGGACTCCGTGGGAGTGTCCCTCATGCCGAGTCCCCCCGCCTGTCCATACTGCTTTTTGTTCTGGAGATTGTTTTGACCTCACTCGGTATAGAACCATATTATCTGCTTTAAGAAAGTAAATGAAATGTAAAGTATGTAGCACAAAGGAGAGTACAGTCTTTATTGAAAGCAGAAGGGAAAAGAGCTTGTCGTCTTACTTTTATGATTAGAATGTCTTTCAGTACTACAATGTCAAAGCCAACTTTTCTAAATGCATTGAGTAAGGTTAGAGCCACTCTGGCATCCCAAAATTTGAAGGGTGTAATATTTTATTGTTCTCAGTTCTAAAATGCTTATTACAGATCATCTTATTTACAGCTCTCATGTCTCTTTTGAATCCGCAGAAGAGGAGTATCAAGGGCAAACCAAGAGAAAGTGTGTTCGAAGGAAGAAACAAAAGAGCAGTTTGCAAATCTCTAATAATTTACATGGAGAACAAACAGACTGTGGAATGCAAGAGGCTCTAGTTCAAGATAATTTACAGCTGCAGCAGACAGACAGTCCCAAAATAAGCAGAAACAAAAAGAGGAAAATGAAAAAGAAGCGACAGAAAGAAAAAAAGAGAGCAGCTGGCTTGGTAACAAAAACTACCAGTGTGGATTTTACATATCAGCCTGACAAAAACAACAGAGAAGAAGCAGCAGGCTTAAAAGACATAGATGAAAAGGCAGATAGCATTCTGGACTTCCTGCAGGCAACACAACAAATTTATTTTGCTGACAGTATGTACCACTCTTTCTCCTCTCTTTTCATGAGCATTACCACGCAGGGGAAAATGGATGTACATTTATTAATGCTGTAAAATGGGACAAATCTACTAGAGAAGTGTCTCTCTTGAACTCAGTAAGACGTGTGAGTGCTTAGTATTTGTCCCACTTTCTGGTGTGTACATGAATATGTAAGAATCCACATCAATAGAAAAAACCTGTGGTTCTTTGTTTCTCTGTCTTTGAAAATGTACATGATATTCCTTACTCTTTTCTTAAACATTCCAAAGCACTCGGGGCAAGTGGTTAAAATGGGCCAAATTCTTCTTTCCTCTGCAAGCCAACATCCAGAAGGATTACTTCCTTTCAGAGGACTTCAAATGAGGGCAATTGCTATCCTAAACTACTTTCATGCTTAGCATCTCTAAACCAACCTACTTTTCGGAGTGTTCTCTTTCCCAGGAGGAGATTTCTTTGTATTATATAAGGAAATCTAAACAGCATGCAAGAGGAAAGGGCAGGATACTGTTGGCACTGCAAAAGTGTATTGGCATAAAGCACTTCTGAACAAGATGAATGAGAAATGCATAATGCATATTCCATAGCACTTTTCAAAGTATTGCATGTATGTTATCCCTAATGACCTATTGAATGTTCATCTGGTCACTGTGGAGCTGAATGGAGAATATTAAACAACTTACATATCTGTATGAGTCCATCTTAAGTCAGAGCTCTTGGCTCCTAGTCCCGTAAAATTCATCTTTAGACTACAGAATTACTTTAAACACCCTGTTAGGATGACATCAGGGATTTCATGTTAATTTTTTTTCAAGATGTGTGCTTAGAATTTTCTTTGCTCACTGTTAAGTTTTTCTGCTGCATCAGATCTTCATACATTGGAAATCTATCCTGCTTTTTGGCTAGTGTATTTCTGTCACCAAAAATATGAATTTTACTACTTCACTGTATAGCTAAGTAAATGTAAGCTAAATTACATGTGTTTGCTGTGGTGGAACACCAGAGTAACTGAGAAAGATTGCAAACTCTTCAAGTTCTGCTATTAATGCATGAACAGAACAGAAACCTGATCAGTTGTCCACAACTGTGTTGCATCTTGAATTTTAAGAAGAAGTGTTGTTGAGCTTCCAGCTTTTCTGGAAGTCAAGTTCAGGTTTTGACAGTTTTTGACAGCCTGACTGGCCCTGGTTTCAAACCAGCAGATCAGTGTTGAGCCAATGAGGACCTTGGAATCCACGGAGAGGAATTCTTAGGTAAAAGGAAGTTCATCTGCAGATAAGATGTAACATCCACAAATCAGAGTGTGACTAACTTTCTTGTTAGGCAAATTGTAGTTCATATATAGATTTGACATTATGCTGTTTGCCTTTTCTGGTTGAATGACTTTAACACTCCCTGTTTCTTTTAGATAAAATTGGAAGCCATTGCTTTTAGCAGCATTTTCAAATGGTCACGTTGGATTATGCTTCTACTATATATCTTAAAAAGCTGAATCGGGAAAATTCTGTTCTTCTCAGTTGGCTTGCTTGTAAAAAACAAAAGAATTAAAGGGAGTCTGGTTAAAGGGACAGACTACACCTTGTTACTGGAATGAAAGAATTTATGCTTTAGTAGTGTATAAACAATGCATGCCCTTCTCTGCTGTCTTCCATGCTGTTATACCTGCTTTTTTTAAATAAAAACATACAGGTGCAATAACAAGATAATTGGTAGCCTCCAGAAGTGCTTTGCAGTAGTTCCACAGTTTCCCTTTCTCCAAAGGTGTGTGCATTTTTGTAATACGTAGTGTGTAGGAAGCAAAAACACAGTGCTTTGGCCACTGTACAGTTTCTTCATCATACCTTCTTCCTCTGCTAATTTTGAACATTTAGATTCCTCTTGCATTCCTGTCATTGTGAATCCTACTGTCCTTTTTACTTATTCAATTTTGTAGTTTTCCCCTCTTACCATTGTTTTTATATTTAACAAAAAGTTGGAGGAGCAAGCTGCTCTTTAGTGCCTGATATTTGATTGTCAGTTGTACTAAAAAGGAAGATGCTGTCTTTGAAAAGAAAGTATAATTGGGAAAATTTTTCTCTGTGTTCACTGAACATTTTTAACATAGTTTTCCAATTGTTTTTCCAGAGAAATCAGAATGCACAGATACTGCTGTAAATTCAGCAACTGCCCAAGAGCTCTTACAGTATCTTGAATCTCGCACCGTCTCTTCCTCAGATGTGACTCATCTACATCGTTTGAAATCCCTTGTATTGCTGCAGGATATTGAGAGATTGAAGGATGCCTTGAAACAATTCCAAGAACAATCCATGATGCTTCCTGGTAGGTACCATTAGGTACCATTCACTCATGTTCATTCACTGAATTTTTTTTTGTGTGGATTAAAATTCACATCACTTTATTATGATGATGATGATGATGATGATGATGATGATGAAGCTGTAAATAATTATACAGTGGTAAATATATGCTTATATAAAGCTTGAAAATATAATTCTTGCCAAAAATACAGCGATTACCCTCTTTCCATTTGGTTACAATCAATACAGAAACTTTTCTCACTTTGCAGCAACTATAGAATACAAGATGATTCAGGGCTTTAAACTAAAAAGAGAGAATTCCTGCCTGTAGAGTTCGGAGCTGATACGTTTTGGAAAGGACACTCTTAGAGAAGTACGTATGTGTTCTTTTAAGGAGAGATATGGAGTATGACAACCCTTAAGATTATCATGGATGTGAAGCATCTACATATACATGGGACAAAATCCTGTGCATTTCAAGGCTACATTCTCCAATCTTAATTATAATCACACAGTCTCATTGGATCTAATACACATGTGTAAACCAGGTAGAACTCAACAGGAATAATGAAAATGATATTGGCGCTTTATTGAATTAACTAATTTAGCTTCTGTCAGTTAAAGCAAAATGGAACTGTTGAAGTGACTACATTCAGGATATTCTTTACAGGCCTTATCTATATTCTCTGCAATACAGTTGGAATTCTGTTGGGTTTTGCAGCCTTGAGACAAGTTGCTCTCTTTACTTTTATACAGCAGAAATGTCCAACTGAAGAGAGAAAACAGCAACAAATTAAAAACCATAATTGTCTGATACATCTATTTGTCGCTTGGAAAAGCAGAAGACAATTTTCTGAGTGATTTTTAGAATTCATTAATGTTTCTACTGATAGACCCTGGGATTGTTTACTCTTCCAGTTAATTTTTTTTTCCTTAGTAACTCTTGTCACTCCAGGCTCAATTCTAATCTCATTCCAAGTTCACAGAGATGTAACCACAGTAGTTGATTTGATATTCATGAGGTATAACAACATAAGAAAAAGGAAAATACAATCCTATAAATTATTAAATGATAATTAAACATCTGCTAGGTATTAATTTGCTTCAGCAGAGTTTAACAATACATTCCATTTGTAATTCAGGAATTTCAATGAATGAAAATTTAATGCTCTGCGATTTTACTTTGAATTAGGCCTTTAATTATAGGGGCTTTTCCTACTTTTGGCTCAGAAATAGGTCATCTTGTCTGGTCTGGGTATTTTACGTTTTAGGTTTCATTCCCAATTAAGAGGTGATGAAAGTTAAGAGTTATTTCAAAAACTTATTGTCTTAGCAAATTCAAGTAGTTATTATATAAATACAAGTTAGGACTGTTTATGGAGATAAAAATGTACAGTACATCCTAGTTATCTCTAATTTTTTACAAGTCTGTCTGATTATCTTCCTTTTTTCTCTTTATTTTTACTGGGGTGTGATGCACTAGAAGCAAAGGTCATTCTATATTAACATGGTAAAAAACCCAATCTAATTTAGAAAGGTGTATTATTTTTACAAAATAAACATTTTATTCCCTGTGGTTCAAGAATACGTTAAGCATATTCTTATATATGTTAATATGTTAAGGTTCAAGCAATATGTTAACCCTTCTTCCCATGGTTATGATTGTATTTAAGCTGCTAGCATCAAAGGAGTCATGATGGGTGCCATGTTTTGTTCAGTTTTATCTTTAATTCCAGGAAGGGAAGAGTAAGAAAAAAATGAGAAGTGATCCATCTCTTTCATATAAATGCACATTCTCCTTTAGTAAAATTTACAAATTATACATACCATTATATGTCTTTTATTTCTTCATATATCTGTATGTTATGGTTTCATCTAACTCTACACTGGGGTTACCAAGTTTATGCCTTATGATAAGTTTTGTTTTCTTAGTAACTTTTTACAGACCCCTTAAATGAAGCCCTGGTCTGCAGATCACAAATTGAAAATCACTGGTTTATTACCATGTTTTGGTATTTCCTTCACATCTCTTAGCATGTTATTCATATTGGGAATCACAGTGCAACCAAAAGAAAGAAGAAACAATGAAGAAATAAGTTTCTTTTTTATCTTAAGCTCCTAGGTCCCAATATTTACTGTCAAAGAAATTGCTAAAGAGATTGAAACAGAAAAATTATCAACATTAGGTATTATATTTAACCCTTTATATAAATGAGAAAACATTTAAATAAGAAAATCTCTGGTTAAGAGATTCTTGTTGTTCTGTTTAGTTGTCATCATCAACTTACCTTGTACTTTGTGCTTCAAGTTACTCTGTCAAGTTGACCTTGTAGTTCAGTGATCATACAAAGTTGAGGTTGGTCAGGAGTGTTTGTGTGAACATAATTATTTAAAGTGTCCTTGTTCTCAGACTGTAAAAGACAACAAAATGTCCTATTACTGTTTCCATTTGTTTGGTACTCTTTAACAAAAAGTACTTACCTCTACCTAAACTCTTGTATAAGTGCAGGGAAGAGAACATTTAGAAGGCACAGAGATATGGATTTCTCATGTGGGGGCTTTGCTGATCTCTGTCAGAAAGTCTGTGTCCGTTTGCAAAAGGAAGCCAGAGACCTTCATGGTCCTGCACAGTGCAGTGGGCAAAGGAGATGAGTTGTGACTGGAAGTAGTGCTCCCTTTGCTGGTTGGAAACTGCAGCTGTTTAAATGAGAGCTACTTAATTCCTATTTCACATCAATTATTAAAGCATAGGTGATTACCTAATTAAAAAAAAAGTCAGTATCTCCTAATTTATGAACTCATTTATGAATTTCTACTCATCAACTTCATTGCATTATCTATTAACATTTTCCCTTTGTTGGTTAGTTTCAAATCTCAAACATACTCTTCCCTTGTTGCCTAGGAAATTATCACTCATGGCAGAGCTCGAAGCTTCTTTTATCTGCCTTTTTTTGGGGAGTTGTCCTTTATATATGTCTTTATTGCAGGGGGAGATACATTTGGCAGACCAGAAATAATGCAGTTACTGTGTGCCTACAGTGCAGAGGCTGATACACAGAGGCCTTAAAATGATTAAATTTACACTTCTTTTTATGAAGTAACATTCAAAGAAAAGGAAAAGAAATTTGAAAACTACATTAGCATAACATTATAGAATCATTTTGAATGTGAATATTACGTGGTAAGTACTGTGGAAAGTCCTGTCATTAAAGTCAATAAAGTCACATAGGTAATCTCTGAATTAAGACAGAAGTCGTAGCATTTTGAGGCTTTAGTGCAGCTGTCTGTACAAGATGACTCATTCTCAACTGGGGCTTCCAGATGCTCCTGTAAGTTCAATAGTGGTGTGAAATGACTCTCCAAACAGAAAGAAGTGAAGATGCATTCTTTTAGCCTTACCCAGTGATCATGTAATTTCAGTTTCCTTTTTTTCTGAATTATTGAATCATAGCAAATAGGACATTTCAAAATATAGGAGCAAAATTTTCTCATACAAATGACTGACCTCCTAAAATAAAGTGCACCTGCTTATATAGAAATTCATACGTATTCAAGCTCTGATATCTTCATTGGTTTTACTGAAAATGCTCACGCAAGTCTTTCCTGTTCAGAAATGTTATGGAGTTATTTCAGAAGGAATGTGTTTTCTTTGTTTCAGATCATACTAAGGTAGCCACGTCTCTGTTTCACTACTGGATTACAGATATCCTTCCTGTGAAGAACAGGAAATAAAGCCTTGCCTGCATCTGTATGCACAGGGTTAAAATTTAATATACAAACTCATAACCAACTAGCAGTTGTTCAGGAAGAGTGGTATCAATACACACTCTACAACTGCAGGTAAATGGATTTTTTATTGTGTTACAAATTCAGAAGACAGTAAACAAGGTAAAACTACATGTGACTTTTTGTGTTTGGTTGGTCAGGAATATCCATATGCTGTGTAGCCTGAGTCTTCAGCTGGATTACTGTGTACATTTCTCCTAAGGATAAGGGACTTAGCTGGAATGATAAAGTCTGTATCAGGTATTTTGTTTAAGAACAATAGTATTTCCTTTTTTTGTTTGTAAATTTATCATTCCTTTCTGGAAATTATATTTCTTGACTTTTTTGTATATCTGCTTGCTTGGAAAACAGAACTATATTTTTTATATTTAAATCTAAGCAACAACACGTCATGAGGAACATATTTTTGCTGAATAAACTGCTAAATTGTGGAAATAGATATGTTTCTACATGTGGGTCATGTAGGTACTGTTTGGAGTTATGAAGAAACTTGGATGGCATTTTCAGAACTGTTCCATGGCTAAGCCTGTTACAATCTGACGGGCCTTACTGACTGCAGAGTTATGGGACTGGGTTCTCTCACTGATTACTGTGTAATCTGTCTACTACTGTGTAGTCTTTCTGCAGCTGAACTTATCCGTGTGTAGATAATACAGTAAATAATATCCACGGTTGTAAAATGTTTTGGAATCATGAATTAAAATATGCTTTGTAAGAGCTTTCAGCCGAGTCGTTCATCTGGTCTTCTATCTTGGTGTGTTAGCTTCATCAATAAGATAGGGGCAACATGTTTATCTCCTCCAACATGTGCTTGGAGATACACTACTGATGAAACTATATAAACATTGCGTGGTTTTTTGCTTTGTTTTTTATTTTTTATTGTGTTGCCTGATATATCCTGATGTAAGGCATTGGTTTAGGGATGCTCAAGAATTTCTCATAAAAATACAATCATATCTCTTTCTCATTTATTGAAGAAGTTAAAAGGGATTCAGTAGCACACCAAAGGACTGCAGGTGCAGAAAAACTAGTCTTGTTGCTATGGCAGCTGTGTGGAGCTCTGAAGAACTTGAGTTTGGTCTGTATCTGTTAGGAAAGATGTATAAACCAAACATTGCAGAGGGGTGCTCTCCACTTTAATGCTCCTTAATTGCTGACACATAGGCACTGTACTGTAGATGTGCTTTTCACTGAGATCCTGTGTGCCTCAGTCCCACATCTGGAGAAAGAAGAAAATATCGCTTTGATGTGAAGCACCTAGATAGTCTCCTAGAGCACCTAGACCCATGGGAAATTAATAACTTCATCCTCAGATTAAGGTTTGAGTGTCACACAATAAATGAGGCCTAGGAACTGCAAAAAAGGGTACACAGCAACTCATTGGGTAAACATCATCTGTCCTAAACACTGAATATGAAAAAAATAAATGAGGTCATGTAATTAAAGGCAGAATTTTGAAACACAAGTACAAACCAGGTCAAATAAGGACCCCAAAAACCACTGTAGTGCCTGCATTTCCTGATGATCGAGTGACTGTGCTGAGGGATGTTATACAGCTGCTGCCTTGAGTGGACCCCAGGACCTGTCATTTCGTTCTCCTTGTCCTCTGGATCCCAGGCTGGTGCACCTGGAGATCTGGATGTCTCCCTCACACGCCGGTGTAGGTGAGTGCAGCTTTCATGTTCCCAGGTTCAAACGGTAGTGATGCTTAGCATGGATCTTGGGGACACACACAACACTCATATGGATGATTACACAGGGCTTTGATGCCTTGAATGCCGGCACAGGACCCCAGTCTGTCTCATATCCCTGCCTGGATCCTGGTCCCTCTTAACTCTGTGGTTCTCCTACTCACCAGCTACTCCAGCCTGACACATGTTCACACACTCATCTCACAAGCACTCATGTCACACCTTTGTTTATTGCTTGAATTTCTCTTTTTTAGTATTTCAGTGCTTGGCCATTTCTCATAAACATAGAATGGTTTGAGGTAGAAGGGACCATAAAGGTCATCAAGCTCTAACCCCTCTGCCATGGGCAGAGGCAGCTTCCACTAGACCATGTTGCTCAGTATTAAAGGGATTTTTAAAATACCACTGAATTCTAAATAGCTGCATATAGAGGAGCATATATTCATATCTTTGCCAAACAGAAATATTTTCACAGAATCACAGAATGGGTAATGTTGGAAGGGACCACAGTGGGGTCATCTGGTCCAACCTCCCTGCTCAAGCAGGGTAAAATTTTGTATTATCTCAGAATGTGAGTAAAATTTCTCAGGTCAAAAATGTACTTTGTTTGAATCAGGTAATAATGGAGAGAAGATTACTTTCAGTCTCTCTTTTTTCCCTTTGCTTTTACCACTGTAAGAGCTTTATATTCTGTGTAAAAATCAGCTGGCCCCAGCAAAGCAAGCCTGGGAACAATTTCAGAGCATAGCGAGTTAGTTGGTGATATCTGATGTCTTTGTAAATGACCTGTGATAGGAGCTGAAGCTTACACTTATCAAACCTGCCACTATTGCACTAACAGGGATTATGAGGAGTAGAGGATAAAGTATGTTGAAGGGTTTAGAAAAATGGACCAAATTCAAGCAGATAAATTGTAGACTGTAATTGTAGATAAATGCAATTGCATAAGAGTGTATTTGTTTCTGAAACAAAGGTGCCAGACAAGTGTGCTGATTTGCAACATGCATAAGGACACTTAAGAGCAATACACAAAAGAATAGAGCAGAAGATCTAGTTTAATAGCAAAAGAAGTGGACATTACTTATAATAAAGTAAATTAGGCAGTGTGCTATAAACAGCAGGGATTCCATGTTTAATGTCCTATTTGCAGTCAAAAAAGATTTCATACACAGGATTTTAATACCTGGTCACTTTTCTGTACTGCTTCTCTAAAATAAATGGTGCTCAATCTTTCTACAGCTTTTCTGGTGTATTTGAGCAGTGGTATAACCAACACGGCTGGGATATGAAAATTGAAATATTTAGATTAATGTCCACCAGTGAATACTGTGGTCTGCCTTTCACTATACAAGGCTCCTTCAACATAGCAATGAAACATTTATCCTTTTGGATTTTCATGCCAAACTTATAAATGGCAAAGGAGATGGCCTTGAATTTTTGCTTCTTCAGCATCAATTCAGTTTAATGAATGTAAAGCATAATGGAATTTCTGAGGCATGGAAGAGTTTTTTTAAGTGGACTTTGCATCAGAAAACTTCAGACTGTTATCAGCATATTTCAAACTTCTGGGAAGACAGAACTTTAAAATTTTGGTTTTAAAATCTACATGGGTTCCAAGAACAGGAAGAATTTAAGGATCAACTGGAAAGTAACCTGCATGTGTCTTCAAGAGTAAACTTTGTCGTTTGCATAATTGAGCACTGCACAGTAAGTAAGGAGCAGCAGCACAGTGAGAGAGAAATCGGGCTCTGAGTAGGTGGTGGTCCCTTACCAGAGTGTCCAAAGAAGGCCACGGAGGCTGAAGTAATTTGAGGCATCTGTGGTAGTGAATAGCTAGTCACTATACTTGTATGCAAGGGTATGAGTTCAAAGCCATTATCTCTATATATAGATACATGTTTTATTCTTAAAATTGCCTGTAAGACCTTAATTTTTCTCTTTTGTGGATATGTAATGTGGGAATCAATCTCTAATGTTACAGATTTTTACTACTGTGTAAGTGGTGCAATATTTTATATAGCGCTTTACAATCATGTAGAGTTATAAATTCCTTAATACTTTTTCTATGACAGCTGGGCTCTCTCCTGCACCACTGCTCAGTAGGCTGAATCTCTGAAATGGCAGCATAAAGGCAGAAGATTTTTAAGCTGTCTTTGACCAAAGGAAACATATGTCGTCCAGTAATATCAGGTATATCATAAAACCAGTCCACAGATGAAGTGTGGAAAGTGGTGTGTGTTATACGTGTACAGTATGCTACACATTAAGTATAACAAAGAGTGGTAGTGGAAATGACAGCAAACTGTATGTTTGGGAAAATGTATTATATTTAATATTTAGGGAAACCTCAGGTTACAGCTGTGCAGACTTCATTAACTGCTTCGGCCCTAGATTGTACCTAAGGAGGGCTGCATTGCACATGTTTATGCAGCTAATTAAGCTTCACTGTTTACTACTTTTTCCTCTGTGTTGCATATAAATAAACTTTTGTTTATTGTTTTCAGCTGTTAGATATATGCTGAACTAAGGGGACAAGGGGACATATGTATAAAGAAAAAGCAGAAATTTACAGATGCTGTATTTTTTTCCCTTCTATAAGGATATAGGAAAAAGCTGTATATTCTGTGATTAGCTATATATTCTGTGATTATTTGAAAACAGTGCATGTGCACCACAGTCACTGAAGGTCAAATATATAGCTTTAATAAGGATGTTCTCCAAGTTGAATGCCTTACTTTGTAGAATTAATAGTCTGTTGTCATTTTAATGTACTGCATACTCTTGTAAAATGTATAAGCAAGCTGTAGTTCTCTTTTACATTATTACTGCAAGGTAACATCCTGGTTTAGGATTCATAATGAAAAAAAAAGTGTCACCTAAAATTGAAGAGGACTGCACGAAGAGAAGGAACAAATCTGTAGTTCAATACCTTCTTTTCTTTTGCATCAAGTCTAGGGTGCTACAGGTTGCATCAAGTAGAGGTTGCTTCTCTTTGTTTTCAAGATCTTTGCCAGTCTTCTCAGTTCCTTATGAGCACACAGGTGATTCCTCCGTCCCTGTCAGCCTCTGGTATTAGCTTCCCTCACCCATTTCCTGTATTTTCAAGTTTACACATTTATGCTTTTTCCCAATAATGCCTTCCACAGCTCTCTACAGAACAGACTTTCTACTGTTTTCCTTTCCTTCTTTAAAGCTCTCCTTTATTGTGATGCTGCCCAAAAGCTTGCCAGCATGCTAGGACCACTGCCTACTGTGCTGACTAATGTTGCCTTATTGTCTGTGTACTCCCACATCAATCTGCCTGTTTTCTCCCTGTTTTCTCCTTTCCTAAGCGAGTATAAGTTTCTTGCAGGATTTGCCCTGCTGCACAGCAGCCAGCATGACAAGTTCCTATTACATCTGAGGTGACAGTCTGCTGGGGAAATGAAATAGGCTTAACTACAGTTGAGACCATGCTTGAACATGTAGGAAAGGCTGCTGATAGTCTAAAATAGCTTCATAATTTTACACTGCACACATGATCAGTCTGGTAAAACAGGGACTTGGTTCTCCCTAGCAGGCAGTGTTCTTTGTAGGCAGTGTTCTTCTGTAGGTTGCTAAGGAGAGCTTGGAGGCATGCAGCGTGGAATTCATTTCTCCTGATTTCATATGTCTGCAGTGTTAATGTTTCCATCTGAGCTGCCTATCCTAAAGAACTTTCTGATCACTGGGATTAAATAGATACTTGTATGGGGCAATATAACTAATTGCTACTGGACATCTATTTTAGAATAGGAACAATGGTACCAATGGGAGCACTTAGATCTTCATGTTGACTGTTATGGGAGCATAAACACGTAAGTCAGATGGAAACATCTGCATTGCAGGTGTCTGGATCCTGTTAAAAAAAAAAAAAAAGAATAAAAAAGATGATTTGCTACATCTGAGAAAAGGACAAGAATGTGCATGTTGCATGACCAAAACATCACCTACTCTTGTTTCTGGTCTGGCAATGACAAGCTCCTTCAGCCTGAACGGGGCTGTGACCCCCTCTCCTTGCTGCTTTCCTGTCTCCTCTTGAGAAGCGACTGCCTGGGAATGATAAAAGGGAGAAGAAGAAGAAGAAGAGTAAGGAGCTGTTGTACAGCTGTGCCTGGAACTCACATAAAACAAACTGAGGAGATACTTCTCTTTCTCTTCCTCATGTTCCCTTCATGTGATCATGCACAAACCAGCCTCCACCACTTCTGAGGTAGACTCAGTAAAAGCTTGCTGTGTGATTTAT